GGCTGACCTGGCGGTCCGGCACGGCCAGCTCGGTGTCCTACCCGAAGCAGATGCCATTGTCCCAGGTCTGAGGGGGGTGGGCCCGGGGACCCCAAGGGCTGAGGTTCCCACCGCGTCACCGTGTTGATTGCTATTAGCATGATAATGAACTCTTAATGGTATCCATTAGCTGGGACCTAAATGACTTGCTGAGAACAAAGTACCTGGCATTGAAGCCTCCGGGCCCCCTCCTCCCCTGACACTCGGAGCTCCTCCTGGCGGACTGAGGCACTCCGGGCTGCCCCGGGCTGGGCTGGAAGCCACAGCTGCGGCCTTCACCCGAGGGACACCTCTCCTCCCTCCCGACTCTCCCGTGAACTCTTCCTCCCGCCGTGTCCCGGAGGAGGGAGGACGGCCACCTGACAGCGTTGCACGGTTTGGGTATTCCTAATGACCAGGCAGATGCCTTAACTAAACAAGATATGTCTTAATTATACACCCCAAGTAAATACGGGTTTCTTACATTAGAGGATGTATTTATATAATTATTTGTTAAATTGTAAAAATGTGTAAAATATGTATATATCCAAAGATATACATTGTGTACATTTTTTGTAAAAAGTTTAGAGGCTACCCCTGTAAGAACAAATATAAGTATTCTATTTTGTCAATAAAATGACTTTTGATAAATGATTTAAACATTGCCCGCTCCCCCGCCTCTTCTGAGCTGTCACCTTTCCAGGGCTTGTCAAGGACGCATGTGGGGAAAATGGACATTCTCTGGTTTGTCACTCTGTACACTGACCTTAGGCATGAAGAAAATTACCTGTTAACCGCTAGTTCTCAAACTGTTGGCAAAGTAAATACCACTGTGGAACTGAAATCAGAACTGAGTTTCTGCACCTTCTCCAGTGATGGTATTTGAGTGGTAGCTCTTTGCTGACCCGTGGATTACAGCTCACTTTAGCGTGTGTAAATGGAACTTTTGCAAAGATAGAGATTCCCCATAGGCCTTGTTATTTATCTTGTATGATTCTCACTAAAGGTTTCAAAACCCCGCATTCATATCTCTCTCGTCTGTGATTTTGAAAGCACCTGGCTTTCAGGAACGGGTCACTGTTGGAGAGTGGTGACTGATTTTCCAAACCAGATCGGTCCTCAGTGCAAGTCACTTGACAATCCCCTAGTGTGGTAGGCGCTCTCTACTGGATTAAACTAACGGGTTAACATCTTAATAACCTTCCATGCTTGTGTGTACCAAATGTGCTGCTTTTCCTAGAGAAAAAGCTATTGTTCCTCTGTCAAGACTAAGCTAATTTATTTGAGCAGAAGGCTGTTGAATTAGCAGAAGAATGCTTTGGCAATTGTTGAACTTTTTACCTGTCTGTCTACTGGCTCAGCACATCATTCCTTTAAGTGGAGCTAAATGAATAGGGTTAATCTGTAGGGAACTTGGTCTTTTGAGTTTGGAAAACTTTGATCTTTTCTCCTCTCCCAATGTGCTGTATAGTCTGAAGTTTCTTTCCCTGCTGCCCGGCTCCTCTTGCTGCAGACCAATTGGCCACCGCAGAGCCTTAAAGTTCTTCCATTAAAGGGATGTGGGACTTTTACTTTAAAAAGGAGAGAGAGCGAGGGAGAGGAAGACTTGTAACAGTTAGTGAAGACCAGAGGCACCAGGGCGCGCAGCCTTTTAAACAGCTTTTCCCGGCGTTGTTAGCCAGCCCGCAGGCAGCTAGGCGTGGGTTGAAGCATTATAGAAAAGGGCTCTGAATGCCCCACAGGTGGTCTGTGCACATAATCCCCCAATTTAAAGCGTTTTCCTTTGCTGGACAATTACATTACAAAACTCCCTTCTTTTTCACTCCTAATTGAACCAATGAACTATTGTAAACTACAAGTTTTTCTTTTTTAAAAAAAAATCCTCAGTGCCTAAATTCTATTGACTAAATTCTGGCAAGTTTTCTGAACTGAGCCTTTTAAAGCACCGGAAGTGAAAGCTTCTTCGGCAGTCATTCCTTTTAGAGATATTTTTATTCCTTACATTTGTTATTTGGGGGCAGATTGGCAATAATCTAAAAGTAATTGGTGAGGTTGTGGGCTCACCCTGAAAAGACAGCCCCGGGTTCCTTATTAGGCTGTCCGTCACGATAAGAGATGGGCAAATGGGCAGCTACCCAGCTGGGGGGGGGGCCTCCATCCCTGTGGGGCGGAGGGGCCCGTTGTGTGCTCTCTTCCTAGACGTTTCTCTCTTTACTTCTAATGAGAATATTTGGTAGTTTTAAGGAAAATCTTTTTTTTTTTTACTTTAATGGGATGAAAATGACCTCTCTCTCTCTCCCTCTCCCTCTCCCTCTCCCTCTCCCGCTCTCTCTCTCTCTCTCTCTCTCTCTCTCTCTCTCTCTCTCTCCTGGTTTCTCTCACGCAGGAGGCTTTTCAGAAGAGTTTCCTGGCGCTGATGTTTCACAAATCCTTTCCAGAGTCGTGGTTGGTGTTAATTGGTTTTTAAAATTGGGGTATGCAATAAGAATACGGACATGAGCTATCGTGTCATTTTGTGTTTTGAAAGTCAAGCACTGGAGAAGCTTTACCAGCCGCTGTATTCATCCTACTTTGAAACTTGGGTACCTGCAGCATGCTGCATGGATCCGCATGGGCACATGGGTGGTAGTGTCTGTACACCAGCCTTGGTGAGCCTTACACACTCAGTTACAGCACAGAGCTTTAGGAGAGGTCTTCACCACACATGCAGGATGGAACAGGGCTAAAAGTCATCGGCATGTGAGTTCTAGCGTGACAGTCTCGTCAGTGGGAGTGCTCAACTCTAAAGCTTTTACCTTCATACTTCCTTAATATAGTCTTGTGAGATGCCACATTTGATGACTACAAGTTGGCTATGGTGTGCTCAATCTAAGCAAGGTTGTGAAGCCAACAAAAAACCTTCCTTACATTCTGAGGACAGCCTTCAGTGGAAAGTTCCACCCACCAGCGATCAGACACCTAAAAGCTTCAACACCCATCAGAGTTTAGACAGAGATTCGCATTAAACTTAATGGCTGGTTCTTTGCCTTTAAAGCCAGAACTTGGATCTGAAATTCTCCAATACCCAAATGGGGTCAAAAACCCAAAGTTGACTTTAGGGGCTGGAAAAGGACAGAAAGACGTCTAGAGGGCCATTTGTGTTCCACAAGGATTGGGTTTAGGATCAGCACACCCCTTTGTGCTCTGGGGTGTGTCCTTAATCGCTATATTAAATATGTTACTTTTTGAAACTTGTCAAACGCTTGGGAGTTGGGTAGGTGTGGTTACTTGTGGCTAGATCAATGTAAATAAAATCTAATATGGTTAAAACCAATAGCAAAGCCAAAGCTCATTAAAATCACTTATGGGGTTATATGGAACTCGTCCTTTTTGCTTTATGATAAATGCAAATCAAAGGTAACCGTACAACAGAAGGGGAAGATGTTTATTGAAAAGTTTAAGGAGCAAACGTGTCACATTACTTTCTTAACCTGCACTGACTGAGATGAGATGCTTACATCCAGGAGAAGGAAGCCAGATGGCCTTGCTGATAGAAAAGTACAGAAAGAGGCTCCCTCCAAGAGCCCAGGTGCAATTCAAAGTTTAGGAGCAAACATTCTGCTGAGACACAAACCTGAAGTTTGAGTAGCCACCACCTTTCCAGCTTGGTCCTATACTGCCCCCTCGTGGTGTAGCGAGGTACTACAACCTGCGGGATCCAGATTCCTTCCTTCACTCGAGTACTAAGCTTCAGAGTGCTGGGACCCTCCCACACAGCCTATGAGCACTGATGTTCATAACTATGAGTTCTTAAGAAAAGTTGTGGGCTGGGGATTTGGCTCAGTGGTTCCGGTGCCTGCCTTGCAAGCACAAGGACCCGAGTTCGATCCTTCGTACCAAAAAAGAAAAGAAAAGTTGTATCTGTTCAAGACCGGATAACAAATCCCTGGGCTACAGTCATTACTTTCATTACCTTCAGTTGAACTAAGTCCAGCTTACTGGTCATGCTGAAATTGGGACTTAAGCGGTATTGAAATGAAAAGGTGTAGCTTTTTAAATTATCTTCTGAGTTACTTTTATTTAAAGAAATGGATGTTTGCCAAAGGTCCACCATAGCACTTTTTTTTTTTTTTTTTTTTTTTTTTTTTTTTTTTTTTT